TAGTAACGAAGTATTAGGAAAAGCTCTATTTTGAATTCATAGAGTCTAAATGCTATTGATTAATAATGAATACTTAGATTTTTTAAAAAATGTCTTTTATAGACTCCTTGGGCTTTGTTTTCTTCATCTGTTTGGTTTGGCTGCTCTCATTTACATACTTGCTCTCATTAGGGTTTGAATTTCAGAGCTGGCCTCACTCTGCAATGAGAACAAATGTCTTGCCATGTGATACTAACTTTCCATTACATGCTGAAGCATTTGCAGTCCCAGAGGCAAAGAATTTATGGTTGGTACATGAGAGATAGAACCATCACATAAAAGAAGCCAAATTTGCAAACATATTTTTCTTTAGTGCTAATATAGTTTCAGGATAATGAGAACTCAGAATAATCAGCTAATGACCAGAAATGAATCATTATTAAAACACTGTTTTGTTTTGTTTTTTTGGCATAAAATAGCTAATGTTTCTAGTTGGTTGATAATTTTCATAGCAACCATGGTATTTGGCACGTCCTAAACCACTTTTCACTAGAAGCCTTCAGACCCCTCTGAAGCAGTTCATTATACTCTAAAATAGTTCTGAGAATCAGGGAGAATAATATACAAGTTTTGCTGATATTCTATAACTGTATAGCCAGCATCGTGTAGCAAGTACTTAAAATATCCTACAAGATTTCTCAGTAATTCTCTAGCCAAGTAGGAAATTAAGTAGATGCAGCAGAAGAGATTCAAAAGTATTGGAAGTCAATCCCCAAGTTAGAGTTAGATCAGAATTTCAAGCTTGTTTTATTGTTTCTTAAAAAGTAAATAAACAAGTTGTTTTATACTTTAATAATAGGGTCACCAGTAATATTCATAACATTTACATGGCATCATATTTCCAAGGGATTCTGTATATGTCCCAACTTCTTGTTATTACTCATTATGCTCTGTGAGATTTTTTGGTGGCATATATTATTTTGGTTTTGGCCAGAAAGTCAAAGGAAAAGAGTATTGAGAATAGCAGCCAATAACTATGAAAACTCATCACAGTTCTGTTCATATATCTGGACATACCCTGCACACATATAGCACTCTATGGTTGTCAAAATCTTGGCATGCATGATACCATTTGATCTTTATAACCCTATATCTGTGTGGCCTTGAGCAAATCACTCAGCCCATGGCTGTGACTCATGTTTGGAAGCTGGGTTTAATAGATACCCTCTACTAAGTCTATAGGAATGCTTCAGAATTAATAATAGAGTAGTTCAATGCATTGTGAATTCTGTAAAAGAAAGGTATTATTATAAATGCAAAATTATTTTATTCACCTAGCTTGGGACCCTAAAATTTAGGGAGACTAAGTGAGTCGGCTGCAAGTGTTTAACCACATTGATCCCAGGAAACACACAGAACCATGGATTAAAAGGTTGATGTTTTCTGGTTTAGATAAGGAGCATGAGATTTTATCATAAAGGGCAAAATACTACCTCATAAGTAGAGAATATTGCTTTCTAAAGAATAGAACCACATATTCATTCTGAACCATGAACTCACTACTTTTATTTAAATGTGTCAAACGGTATGATTTTATTAGTTATTGATCAATATTCAGGCTACATGTAACAGTGGATGGCAACCAGTTTTCTTGAAAAGATATCCAATTTGGAGGCAATTAATCCCAGAATTATTATGAATTACATAAACTGAGAAGATAAATTGATAATATTTCTGATCAAAATAATATTTTCCAAATACGTATATTTTCTGAATAATATTGTATAAACAATAAAGTGGTCAGCCTTGTCACTAATGTTTGACGTAGCTCATGTATTAGTATAAAACCTGCTGAAGAACATCAGATATTTGATAAGATATGTCAATTTCAGTTAAGCTAGGTTTTGCACCAACCTAATAAATAAAGAACAGTAATTCAGAAGCTAGGAAATATAATTTCATTGAAAGATGGAAAGGAATGAGTATCTAGCATGAGCCAGGCAGTGTGGTAAATACATTTTAAATGTGTCTTTATTTAATCTCTATAACAGCTCTGTAGGATAAGCATTATTATCTCTAATTTAGAGATAAAGAAATTGAACCTTCAAGAGATTGAGGGCTTCTTCAAGAGTTTATAATCAGAGCCACATTTGAGCTGGATCTGAGTGATACCCAGGTGTATGTTCTCTCCATTACTCCATTTTATAATTTAGGAACCACCAGATCAGATGTTCCCGAATTTGTGAAGAGGAACTACATTCTGGTTTTTTGTTTTGTTTTGAAACTTCATATTGGTGGAAGGAGGGGTCAGGAGAAAGAGGTTGAACCTGATGTGGATAAATGTGAGGATAAGAGCCCCTGATAGTGAGGGGCTACAGGCACGCGCCACCAGGCCTGGCTAATTATTTTCTTTAAAGCTTTTGTAGAGATGCAGTCCCTTGCTCTGTTGCCCAGGCTGGTCTCAAACTCCTGGGTTCAAGCAATCCTCCTGCCTTGGCCTCCCAAAATGCTGGGATTATAGGTGTGAGGTTCTTCACAGGGGGATGAAGTGAGCAGAAAGTAGCTGCTTGACAAGTGAAAGAAGCAATGGACCAGTGTAGGCTTTAAGATGCACCTGTTAGGCTGGTGTGTTGGGAACTGCCGATGTGGTTGGATGATGCTCTCTGATGGTCTTTCTGTTATATTAAGGAGTAGAGATTTTAAAATATTAGATAATTTTATATTTCTATTCCTAAAATGGGGTGTGTGTGTATGTGTGTGGGGGGGGTGTTGGTCTGTCATTTTATTTCACTTCAAATGAAGATGCATTTTTATCTGGAATGTATGTGGAACTGTCTTGGAATTTGGCTCTCCAGGGTCAGACTATGTCCACATAGCATACAAGCAAATTCCCAGGATACCAGGCTGCTGTTTGAGGTAGGCTGCTGCTACTTCCTCTCCTAGAGAAGAAGACACTCTAGTTCTAGCCCCAGCTCTGCAACTGGCAGATCACCTCACCTCTCTGAGCCTCTGTTCTTCCTCCTCTGAAAAATAAGGAGGCTGAACCAGACAATTCCTAGGCCTCACTTCCAGTCCTTCTGTTCTGCAGTTCCACGAGAAACAGAAAGCATAGCTTATCCTCTAAGCCCTCTAAAAGGAAAAAAACCTAAAACAATTACCTTCCATGGTAAAACTGTCTGCTATATACATTTTAATGTTCCAAAGAATTAAAGTCCATCAATCTTGTAGACTCGTGAGGAAACAAGTCAGTTGGCATTTTCACATACTTTTTATTTCACCGTGTTTTAGCATTGTTAGAACATTTTTCTGTAGGGGAAAATTTTGCTAGAAGTTAATTCGAGTTTTTTATATCTCATTTTGAAATTTAAAGTAAATCACTTGTTTTGAGTACCTTATATCGGTGCTTTTTAAGCCACAAATAATTTTGTCAAACTTTGCAAAATTACGCTCTGCCCTCAGAAGTTATTTTAGGTACAAATTACTTGTTATATTAAATTGAATCGATGAAAATTTAAATGCTGTAATATTTAAGTTATTCCAGCATATACACTTTGATGATGAATACATGCTAACTGGAAACAGTTTACTGTAGTTTTACTTTATGCTTTTCTACTAATAATGTTCATAAATTCATGAATGGGTGGATAATCTTGGTAAGAAAATGAAAAGACTTTTAATTGTGTAAAAGTATGGATTTGTCTTCTTTTGGAGTTGTTGCTTACTCAGCAGACACGTGTTGAGTCCTGCTAACTTGACAAGCACTGCACTACTTGCTGAGATTACAAAGATAAGTAAGATATGCTCTGTGGCTCTGGAAAATCAAAAGCTAGTAGAAGATGCCTGTAGTTCATCTGGAAAAAGAGAGTTTATAAAGTTTTTTCTACAATATCACCTCATTTGAACATATGGGGTACTGTTATTATTTTCCTTATTTTACACAGGAAACTGAGTCTCATGGACGTTAAGTTATAATGCTCAACTTGTTATTACTTGCCCAGTATCTGTTATCCCTTAAATAAGGACTGGGACCATGTCTATCTTTTTCACTCTGTAGTTCCAGTGCCTAGCACAGTACCTGGCACATAATAGATGCTCCATTTGAGCACCTATTTGATGGATTAATAAATCCACCAAACATATTTGATGGATAGTAGCTCCAACAAATACTGGATCATAGGAAAACATTACTAGCATTAGTCTTCTTACTCTTGAAGTAAGTACTTTTTCACCATGCCTTGCTGCCTCTGTAATTATAAACCTGTTTAGTATTAACAGGATGAATGCTTGAGGTATGGAAAACGATCTATATGTACTGCCTAATTTTTTACATAAGGAAAGAGATTGCCTTTGAAAGGTAGAAGCTGAACACCCGTGGAAAAACAATAGGATAAATTCCCCAGAACTCAGACATCTTGGTACTCAACCACAAAAGCATTCTTTTTTTTATAAAGAAATAATTTGGTCATATGTGTCAAGCTTTCTCATTATTTAGTGGTTTGGAATAATTTTAAATTGGCCATTAGAAGTAATGGCAGCAGGTTTGAGGGCCTAGAAGTATTATATATTGTGTACTTTATCAGTAATTTTTATGATATTTATGAAGCTCAGTATGGCTGATGTTAAGAGACAGAGTTATTAGCACTTCAGAACATAAGAATGGAATTCAGAATGACCTTGGAAAAATTGAGAGGTGTTGATCCTAAATAGGAACACATATGGGGAGAAAAGACAAATGCACTATAACTGCAGTATGCAACTGTGGCAGGGAGGAATTTGGAAGACCAAATTCAGAATAACAAAGTATTAATCATTCTTATATTACATTCTTCAGACTATTACTGGAATACTATGGTCAGTCTCAGTCCTACCAGTTTAAGAGATTTGTAACAAATTGCATGAGATTTAGAAGATATAGAAAATAATTGAAGGTTAGAAATTTAGGAATGTGAAAACAGAAAATAAGTTGAATTTTAGTCATGTAAGGTCTCAAAATATTTTATCTCTCATATTTTCATTCTCAGAAGCTACTCAAGGATGTGCTCCACCAAAATGAGGATATGAAGCCAATATAAAGGAAGACAATGAATACAAGAGACAGGCAAAGGGAGTTCCCAGGACATAAGCAAGGGACATCCCAGGTAGCAAGAGTCCACCTGATGTCCAGGGCCATCTGTCCAGGTAATGTACGTTATAAGGTGTAAGGGGAGATATTTTTCAGGAAGGTGAAAATAAAAGAATTCCTGATGCATTTGAATATTTTAAGAAAAAGGGCATGGTAATACATGCCTGTAATCCCAGTTAATTGAGAGGCTGAGGCAGGAAGGTGGCTTGAGTCCAGAAGTACTAGGCTGCAGTACACTATGATCATGCTTGTGAATAGCCACTGCACTCTATCCTGGGCATCATAGCAAGACCTCCATTTTAAAAGAAAGAAGGAGAGAAAGAAAAAGAAAGAAAAATGGAAAGAAAAAGAAGAAGGAAGGAGAGAGGAAGAAAGAAAGAAAAGAAAGAAGCAATGTTAAGCATTTGATGGAAAGTTTGGGGTTAAATTAGTGATATACACAGAGAATGTTTGCTAAAACCAACAAAAACCAACTCCAGGGAAGCAAAAGTTTTAGCCAAAATGAAAAGAAGAATTATATATACTACAGAGCTTCACTATAACTAACATAAATACTAAGTATTAATCTAATCAAAATTTTGATATAAAGATAGTAAGTAGATGAAAAGATGGGAAGGGTGGATGTGTGGGATGGGGCGGGAGAGGGTGGTGAAAGAAAGCTGTGCCCTTGTATTCCACAGTGAGAAGTCATGGAAAATGCCTACACTTGAAAAATCAAATTAATAACATAAGCAAATATAGCGTTAAAAAGTTGTGGAAGTAAACATCAAAACCACCAACCAACAAATTAATCAAATGAGCAAAACAAAATTTCTGAAAACATTGAATGTGGCTGCCTTTGGAGTGGAGAGAAATATACTGAGGGGAGGAACAGGGGACCATTATTTTTCACGTCAAACCTTATTTAAAGCTTATTTAAACCATGACCTTGTATAACTTTGGTTAAAGCAAACAAAAATTAAATTATTTAACTACATAAAAATATATTTAAGGACCTAATAATCACCAAAAGTAAGGAAATTTGTTTTTTCTCAGGATAATGACAACTGCTTGTTGTATTTACAAAGTCAAGATTTTGGTTTAGTGGTAAGTTCTGATAAGGACTGTTGTATGGGAGTTTCTAAACAGATGAGGCATTCCCTTTCCTGGAGCTATGGGGGACCAGCAATCAACACTCAATAGCCTGGCATGGTTTAGGTGCAGTTATAGAGTAAGGCTGTGTGCATTTCCCTGTCTCATTTGGGTTCCTTATAATTCTGTGGGCCTCCAGCGGTGGTGTGGTGTGAAGACAAAGCACTGGATTTATAGACACACAGACCCCAAGTCAAATGCCAGCTCAATCATATACTATTTATGTGACCTCAGAAGTGACCCAACCCCTCTGAACCTTAATTTCCTCATCCGTAAAATGGGGCCATGTGATATCCGCCTCATCTGCTAAGCCATTAAATGAACTTATGTTTGTAAAGTATCTGGCAGATGCTCAAAAAATATCAGTTCCTTCCTCTCTGAAGTAGTGAATCTCCTCACAGATTCAGAGCAGTAATCATTTGAATCATATGATGATAATGTATATTCATCTCTAATGCAATCAGGTAGGGAATTAAAATACATATTTAAATATCTTCTTGTTTTAACTTTTACATGAAACAAAACAACCAGTTTTCCTATCCTAGAAAGATATGCTTTAAATATAATTTATTTAGTCCAATTAGATAACTATTTTGATGTCCCGTAGACACAACTTGAGTGCTTATGTGTCACATATGGCCTAGTACTGTGAGAAGACTTCAGAAATGCTCAAGGCCTGTAGGTGATGGAATAGTCAAAATATGCCCCATCCAGCCAGTCTCCCAAATTGCTACATAACCCCTTGAGACCCTGTGAATCATAGTTTATAAGCAACTATTCATAAATATAGGCATTTTCCCCAGGGTGTTTTTTATATGAGGTTGCTAAAGATCAACTTAAATATGTGTATATATTTTCTTTGCTAAGTATTAATTCTAACACCTGACTCACAAAGGTGGAGGGAGGGGGGAAGGAAAAATCCGCTAAGTTACAGAGGCCAGAGAGACCCCTTGCAGAGAGAGGATGGCAAAGAAAGTCAACCTTTGAAGAAAGGCCTCCCTAAGGAACAAGGACCGTGTGGTCCTGTGATCCTCTGTAATCTAAGTGCCAAGACTTAGTGCCAAGAATAAATGATCCTGGTTGATGAAGAGCAATCTGCCACTTCTAAGCTTTGATCAAAGATCAGAAAACCATCTCGGTGTTGCTGCGTCTGACATCTGCTCACATTTTCACAGTTTAGTGCCTATAACAGGAAGTGCCTATTTTCACCTTGAAATTCTTTCATTCAGTAGAAATGTTTTTTGTTTTAAATAATTTAAAAATATAACCAGTGAGCATCTTTAAATTTTCATAATTGGCTCACAGTAAAATAGATTTCTCACCTCTGATTTAGGTGAAATAACTTTGTTTCTGCTTTATATTATTCTACTTTCTCTACCTCAAACAGGAACAAAAATTCTTTTAATAATCAATTGAGCTCCTCAGTTTCTTTAATTGAACACTTGCCAGATTCTGGGGATACTAAGATGACTGTGAAAGAGTATCTTCCCTGGAGGAACTCAGTCTCTATTCGGGAGTGATAGTGGGGAGAGGGGAACCCAGATTTGGAAAGAGACAAAGGTGATAAGAATGACAATAAAAGTATGTACAAAGGTTAAGATAACACAAAAGATAGAAAGGCCAACCCCGGAGCTTTCCAAAAAGGCTTACACAGAAGAGATAAAGTTGTGGTTTGATTTCCCAGGCCTTGTGAGAGCTTGCCAGTCAGGCAGAGACACTGAAGATACTCATGAAGGACAGTGAAGAAACAGAGCTTAGAACCAAACAGTATGTTTGCAGAGTGGCACAAAGCTCCATGTGGTTGTGTTAAGCAGTGAATGTGGGAAGGTAGTAGGAGGTGAGAACCAAGAAACAAGAGATAGAACATTCCATAGATAAATAACAGGAGTGACAGGCTCCCAGATGCATTGTCAAGAGAACATATGATGGCAAGGATGGGCTGGAGTGAGATGAGAACCTATTTAGAAGTAGTCCAGGTGGGAGGCTGAGGCAGGCGGATCACGAGGTCGGGAGATCGAGACCATCCTGGCTAACATGGTGAAACCCCATCTCTACTAAAAAACATACAAAAAATTAGCCGGGCATGGTGGCGGGCGCCTGTAGTCCCAGCTACTCAGGAGGCTGAGGCAGGAGAATGGCGTGAACCCGGGAGGTGGAGCTTGCAGTGAGCGGGAGATTGTGCCACTGCACTCCAGCCTGGGCGACAGAGCGAGACTCGTCTCAAAAAAAAAAAAGAGTTAGTCCAGGTAAGAGATGTGGAGGTCCCAAATTATGGCAATAACATATCAAAGATGGATGATAATTAATTATAAATCATCTAAAAATGTGAACTACCATGTAAAACCATACAAAGATATTAATTATTGATATTACTTTTCTGCATGACCTTGGAGTCTGTTGTGGCAACCCACCCCTAGTTTAGTAAATACTTGCTGTGGCCAAGCCAAATGCACAATGCCATCTACAGTAGGCGCGTGCTACCATCACACGCCTTCTCATGACTTCCCAGGATTTACTAGGAAGGCTATTTGTGGAACAAGCTCATTTTAGCTTCTTAAATATCATAAAATAAACTGAGATTGCCCATTTTATTTTAAGTATGCTGCAGAAGACAATTAACTTTGTTTCCAGCACAAAATATAATGCCAATATAACTTTTGTGAAACGTAAAATGGTGAAATTTAAGGATATGGCTGAAGATACCCATGGTTTTATAGGCTTTTCACTTAGATGAATGAATGGATGACTTTGCCACAGCATTTTCAGCATTCCAGGCTTGTGATAAAATGGAATCAAGTTCAAGTTTCTTTTAACCTTCATTTTTAGGAACCCGTGATTACATATATAAACATTTATCAATATACATGTTTGGAGTTGACAGTGATTTAACATTTTGACCAAATACCTGTGCTAAATTCATTCATGAGACAGCTGAGGAAATCATTTCTGGAATAATTTTTACTGTTCTTCAGTGTTCCTCAGGCAGGAAGCCACAGGAAACAATGTATTGTGGTGCATATTTCCCTGCAGGATTTGGTATGTCATTCACTGTGGAGAATTTTGCTTTCCAGCTGCCTATAGTTCACATTTTTGTACTTGCTTTTCCCTCCAGGATAATTTGATGAAGTCAGTTCCTCAGAGATAGAAAATGTCTTTCTATTTTTTTAAGACCAGATTTGTTTCTTTTCCCAACTGAGAGATAAACTTGATTAAAAAGAAAACATGTAAGTAGCCAGGATTAATTATTTTGACATATGAAATAACCATGATCGCAATATGAAATAGTCATTAGATAATTTTAATAATCTAGTAGGGTAAGTGCCTTTGGTTGAATGAAAATAAGGTCTGTCAAAATTTTGGATCAGTTTAAAATGTAGTAAATTAGAACCTGGAATATGGAAATGAAAACCACCCTTTTTCGAGAGAACTTCACTATTCTTTTATTAGGTCTGATTTCTACTTTAAAGTTTTTCTACCCTCCTTTTCCTTTCACTTCCCTGCGAAACATTGTCCCACTAGACGAGACATTAGACGAGAAAATAGCAGAATAAAATGTTTTAAAATCAGAACTAATATCCTCACGTTAAGCACGTTAAGCAACTATTTTTTTTAAACACCTACACCAGTGGATTTTCAACCTGCCTGTAAGAATCACTGGAGGAACTTTTTAAAAATGCACAGACCTTCACGCCTGTAATTCCAGCACTTTGGGAGGCCAAGGCAGGCAGATCACTTGAGGTCAGGAATTCGAGACCAGCCTGGCTAACGTCGTGAAACCCTGTTTCTACTAAAAATACAAAAAGAATTAGCCGGGCGTGGTGGCACGCGCCTGTATTCCAGCTACTGGGGAGGCTGAGTGAGGCAGGAGAATCACTTGAACCGGGGAGGCGGAGGTTGCAGTGAGCCAAGATTGCGCTATTACACT